ATTAATCGATTAATGTTTTTCTGACGATTAATTGCACACGATACGATTATGCCCAACCCTAGTTGTTACCAACATCTGGTGAAAATTTCATGTCATTAGCACCTCTAGTAATATATTTACTGAGAAAAATGGTGACGTGTTCAAAACTTATTTTACGCGCTGTACATGCTGTCAAAATTTATTGTTTAGTTTAGGGATGCACAATATATCGCTACTAATATCGGTACCAGCCGATATTCATCATTTTTTAAAATATCGGTATCAGTCTAATATGTAAAACTGGGCCGATAATAACGTCCAATATTGATTTCCCACTTTTTATCGTTGTGTTTCTGTTTTAGGAGGGGAGATGTTTAGTTGAGCAGCATCTGTTTGATCATGACAGTGATGTTGACGCTGCAGCCAGGAGTAACTCAAGTAGAGCCATGTCAGAGGTCTGGTTGTTTATTTACAGTAACAAAAAAAGACCCAGGTGTGTTTAATATAATTTTTGTGTTTGTGTAATATCAGTAATTATCGGTTATCGGCCATAACAGCAATAATTAAATTGAATATCGATATCGGCTGAAATTTTCATATCGGTGCCTCCCTAGTTTGGTTCAGGAAGCAGATCACGACATGCAGCGTACAGCATATGCATACACACAAAACGTGTGGATTTTATTTTGAAATATGAATTAAAAACAGACATCAGTGATGCAGTTTCAGCTGTTATTTCCAGAATGAATTAATTTGGTTGGACTTCCACGTTTATCACTGGTTTATTGTACGATCGAGCAGTTCCTGTGCATGCTTCTCAGAGCACCTCTGTGCTTCACAGCGGAGCGGAGCTGCATGCAGTGTAACTCGCTGGTGACCCAAAAAAAAAAAGGTTAGGCGCACCGTAGGGCTGCAACGATACAGGAAATTCACGGTTCGATTCGGTTCGATACTTTAGTCTCACGGTTCGATATTTTTTTCAATACAAAAAAGAGAAATTTCTATGTCCCTTTTACTTGTAATTTATTTAAATTAATTATGAACATTTGTTTAACCTCAAAAGTACAGTTTTTTAATTAAATGCTGCTGAAACAGCAAGTTTCTCAGTGGATCTGCGCTCAAAAATGCAGCCTAGGTGGAGTAGTCGAACACAGATCCACTGATCCTTCAACACAGAGCATCTTCAGAAGACAAGCTGATAAAGTAAATTTTAAAAACCTGTATTGTTCCATACAGCACTGTTCGATACGGTTCAACACGGGTACATGTATTGTTGCACCCCTAGTGCACCGGTACTACTAGTGCAAAAAAATAAAAATCCTTGAAGGGGAATAAGAAACTTCAGTCACTGTCTAATAATCCTTGTCAAAGTACACAATGAAATGCATTCTGATATAAAGGGTTAATTGTGAATGTCAGAGAGCACTGAATAATTAAAAAAGAAATATGATTTTCTTTTCTCTCTGACATGGAATTGAAATGTTTTTGATGGAGTAAATGAAGTCCAGTGTTTGTGTTAGACAGCAGTGATTTAGAGTAAATGGATGGTCAGCAGGTGTATTCATTTACCTGTCTGCTGTGCACATGAGCAGCCTGAGAAAAGGTGCAGCTGACTGCATCTATCAGCACTACAGCTGTTTGACATCAGCTCCTCCACAAAACTACAACTACATTAACACATCTCAGAATATGTGGGCATTACACCAAAACACACCAAAGATCACAACGAGCTGATTTATCCAGACTCTGGGCTCAGTGGACGCATGATGAAAACAATCTGCTGCTGTTCCAACACTCACCCTCCGATGGAGTCTGGTAAGTACATCAGCTGGTTTTCATCCACTTTCAGCGCTGTCAGTTTCTTCAAGGAGCCTAAACACAGAAAAAACACACAAACACGCTTAGTGTAAACAACCACACAGGGCTTGTATTGATTCACAATCACTGTTTAACCACTACAGAGGAGTGTCCATTAGAGCAGTTAATTAGATTCATTACAGCCCACATCAATACAGTAATACTCTGACTGGTAATCAACCCATTCACTGACAGGGATCGGCTGATTTTACTGTCCTGGTCTGAGCATTTTTTGTCCAGAGAATAAAAAACAAGGAGCTTGAAATGTTAGAAAGAAGTTCTTAAATGTAGACTTAACAAATCAGCTTTTTTTAAACCTAATTTCACTCTGGGATCAATAAAGTATTTTTGAATTTGAATTGAATTAACCCAAGACTTATTCATACCAGGAAAGTTCTTTGATCCGCATATTTGGTCCGGACCAAAAGTGGACTTTATTTTTTTTCGTTTGGTGCGGTTTGCATTCACATTGTGCTTTTTTGCAAACAAACTATAACTTGTAAACAAAGCCAAGAGGCTGACGATCATTGCTCCCATTGGACAAAAAAGGACGGGGGCGGGACTGAGCCATAGACCCAGAAGAAAACAAGGAAGTCCTGCATGCTGTGGTTCTGATGCACACATTTATGCTGATAGTACAACTATAATAGCATTTAAAATGTCAGAAGCAGCTAATTTAATGGTGGTTCTGTGATGACATTATAATTTTGGAGGGACGTCAGTAAATGTGTCCCACGACCCAAAGGAGATGAGGTGCTCTGCGTGTTCTGACCCACTACAGGCTGCCAGCAGAGCTGCTAACAGGAGACGATGAAACAGGTATGATTTCAGTTTATTTAGCTCAGCAACGGTGGCCTGTGAGGTCCAAAAAGGTGCATGTTTAATGCAGTTGGTTCGGTTAGAGTCCAGTCTGTATTCACACCAGAAGAGAACTAAAGTGAACCGCACCAGAGTTCGTTTGGAAGAGGACCGAGACCACCTCAAAAAGCAGGTCTCGGTCCGGTTGTTTGATCCGCACCAGAGTTCACATGAGTGTATTCACACCTGCACAAAAGGTCCGGACCAACGCTGGAAACGAACTCTGGTTCGTTTAAAGCGGAGCAAATTATCAGGTCTGAATACAACCTTATTCACTAAATCCCTGTTTATTTATGTCCATTGGTGTGCATCAGTTCAAGATAGATGTTCATTTTTCATTTGACAACCCATCCATCATCTGTCATCCATCCATCCATCATCCATCCATCCATCCATCCATCCATCATCCATCCATCCATCAAGAATTGACTCTAGAGTGCATATTTTGTGTTCATGAAAAAACTATTACAGAAATATTACAATATTAAAGAACTGTTCTTGTTAATTTGATGAAAACATTTTAAATATCCAGTGCACTCACATCAGAATAACATAGATTTGTTGTTAGAATAATCGATTAATCGAAAAAATAATCGTTAGATTAATCAATTAGAAAATAATCGTTTGGTACAGCTCTATTTGTAAATCACACTTTAAAGTGAAAACATATTTGAGAACAAAAGGAGCAGACTATATAAGTTGTTTTCTTCTTCTGCTGCCTTTCATTTTGTTTTTTTCTAAGATATAATTTGTGTATTATTGTAACGAAGTTTTCTTTTTTTATTCAGAAACGAAATAAATACATTTTTTGAATTGAATTGAATTGAGAAAAGAGCATAATCACCAGAGCAAGTAGTGTGTGTGTGTGTGTGTGTGTGTGTGTGTGTGTGTGTGTGTGTGTGTGTGTGTGTGTGTGTGTGTGTGTGTGTGTGTGTGTGTGTGTGTGTGTGTGTTCACCGATTGAGCCGGGCAGCTGTGTGAGAGCGTTGTTTGACAGCAGGAGGTCCTGCAGATTCTCACAGCCGGAGATTTTTTCATCGACCATTTCCAGGTTGTTCTTTGACACATCCAGGTAAACCAGCTGTTTTAGCATCCCAAACATCTGGACAGAACGAGGGAAGCATAAAGGGAAAAAAAAAAACAATATTTCACACGATCACGTAAGAGTGAAAGAAATCATAAATTGAACTGAAACAAAATGATTATTTTGTGATTACTCGTATTCCACTTTTTTCTTTTTGTTTTAAAAAATGAGTTGAATTTTTTAAATTTCACAAAAAAAATGCAGTTAAAAAAAAGAAAATCATCTAGAGCAACTCGTTTGGTTTTATTTGCTTCATTGCTAATAAAATGGCAGTCTGTGATCACAGCTGATGTTGTTGAAATGCTGCCAGTAGAACTAAAGCTTTGACCCATTTTCTGCAAGCAGGTCATTTGGTTGGAGAACGAATCAAACCGAACAAATTTTTTCCATACATTCTTACAAATTATTCATGTTTTAGGAAAATAAATAATTCACAGCCGCGCATCGTTTTCATTTTATGATCACCTCAGGACTTGTTCAAAAACCAAAGAGTCAGCGACCTTTTTGAAAAGGCAGCGAGCTCAAAGTGTGTTTCAGGCTGACTGCTGTTTTATTTGATGGAAACCTAAGCAGACAGATGGTTGTGGGAAATCCTCTCAAGATAATGTTCTTGGACACAGCAGTCAGTGAAAATACCACTGTGAATCCTACCCCAGGAAGATAAGTCAGTTTGTTTCCATCCATCCACAGTTCTTTGAGTCCATTCAGGTGCTCCAGGACCTCAGGCTGCAGATGCAGAGAGGACACAGTGAATACAGGTCAGAGGACGACGGATGTAAGAGAGGAAACATTTAACATCAACTGTGCATGTGTGTGTGAAAGAGAGAGAGAGAGAGCAATCAGTACTTTAAGGAAGGAGGAGATGAGGTCACCTCACAGAGGTGGAGTGCTCAGGGCAGTGACAGACAGACAGAAACTCACCACTTCAGCGAACTCATTACTGCCCAGGTCCAGCCTCTCCAGCTGTGTGAGCTTCTGCATGCTTCTATTAACACAGAAACATCCAGTCAAACCACCAGAGTTAGGGACAGGATAAAATAACCTACATCCTGGTTATCCCAACCGCTGGAAGGTGAATGATAATGTTTTTATTCTTTGTTAGCAAATTACCTTGTGAGCCACCAGATGGATTTCACTGAAACAAGGATGTGTATCTACAATTGAATAACTTTTAAAATCAACCCAATTCAAAAAGGCTATAATGGTTTGGCAACCGTAACCCTCCTATCGTCCTCAAATATAATAGAAATATGTTCCTTGGGGTCAATCTGACCCCAGGGATATTTACCTCATGAAAATGATTTAAGGAATATTGTTGACCACGTTTTTGTGACAGGCACTTTGTTTATTTGTTCAATACATAAATAACCCCTTGAAAATCAGTGAGTTGACCTGTACTCTAGCACCACCATCAGGCCAAACCTTTAAATTAGAATTAATTTATCTTGAAATTTTCATGCAAATCTTCTCACATTTACTTCTCAACATTAATGAACACAAGTCTTGTTTTGGTGATGATGGATAGGACCTTTACTGTGGCGCCACCATCAGAAAAACTTTCAGGTTGAGAGCACATTCATGACTCTCACAGAATGACCATGTCAACATCCAAGTCTTTCCAACTGTCCCCATATACACTCACCGGCCACTTTATTAGGTACACCACGCTAGTAATGGGTTGGACCCCCTTTTGCCTTCAGAACTGCCTCAATTCTTCGTGGCATAGATTCAACAAGGTGCTGGAAGCGTTCAAAGGCACTCAAATCACCTTTCTTCCCCATACTGATGCTCGGTTTGAAC